CCAGCCCCACCCCCTAATCCCCAGACGAGCAGCACACAGCCCCACCCCACTCCCCGCCAAGGCCTGGCAGCCATGCATTCCGGCCCCGAGCACTAAGCCCCCCAGCACCAGCCCAACTCCCTCCCTATGAGGGCCTCAGCCCCCCTCACCCCCAAACTTAACTGCAGGAGCTGCTCTCCAGGATGTCTGGTGACCATGTGCATATACATGCACATGTTGCCCCTTGAATAGAAGGCAGTAAAGTAGGGGTCAGTAATCCCTGGCACGTGTGCCAAGTGTGGCACACGAGGCCATTTTGCTTGGCACGCTGCAGCACAGCTGTTTGGAGCCTCCCGGCTGCAGCTGGCCTCAGCTCCAGGTAGCTGCTGCCAACGATGGAGCCTGGGCTGCTCCCAGCAGGGCTTGCAGTGTCCCAGCTGCCTTCTGGGAGCAGCCTGGGATCCCGGTTGGCAGCAGCTCCTCAGAGCTGGGGCCGGCTGCAGCTGTGCCGGGTTCTAGCATTGGCTCTGCACCGGCATGTGCAAGCAGTGGGGGAGAGGCCTGAGGCAGAGCAGCCCTGGTCTCTCTCCCGCTCCGGGCACGGAGGTGATGAGCCCAGCGCAGCTGTTTGGAGCCAGCCCGGGCTCTGGGCAGCTGCAGCAAGCAGCGGGCAGGCTGCAAACAGCTGCGCCGGGCTGCACAGCTCTGGCATCAGCTCCAAGCTGGAGAACAGTTGCTGAGAATGACTTCTCATATGTTTTTTGCGAATTGGCATATTGACAGTACCTATAGAAAGTTGCTCTTGGCTGACCTTAGGGATCACGATGGGAAAAGACTCAGACTGTTTACATCAAAAACCATGTAAGTCAAAATCAGCACCTTGAATTGCACCCAGAAAGCTATTGGGAGCCAGCATAGACTTTGGAACACTAGAGTTATGTGCTCCTGGCAACACACCTAAATCAGAAGGTGGGCTGCCTAATTACTTTAGAAACATTGTGTGCCTGTACTCCTGCAGGATGCCTGGTCTGACGTGTTCTAATTAGAACACATTCTAATTAGAACACGCGTTCTAATTAGAACGCTCCAGCAGCTGCACCCAGAGCTGCTCTAATTAAAATTCCTCACCCCAGAGCATGTGTATAGATGCACCTGATTTCTAAAATCCACTTGCTAAAGCTGCTTTAGAAACCAGGAGTTGCTACTTTATTGTACATGTCAAAATATTCTATATTGTAAAACCCTTTTTCAGAAAAGAACTGTATCACCATCTGTATCTTCCACATAGTCAGAATTCAACCTAATTGTGTTGAATCATTTTATAGGGTGTTAATGGCAAAGAATTAAATGGGACTCCCTTGGCACTTAATACTCAGCAGTTCATCTTTTATTTTTCTCCGCAGCAGAAATCCTGGCATTGTAATTAAACCAGCCCAAGACATCATCTAGATGTCAAATACAATTTAAATACAATTTTAAATTTGTTTTCATGATCACATGCATGATATTTTTATGAGTCTTTCTATTGAAGCATATCAAATTGAAAACATTTCAAAACAGATTTTTCTTTTTGAAGGGCATTGGGACTCTTTAGTCTGATAGATAGCTTGTGGCCTCCCTTAGTGCCTCTAAAAGTTCCTGGACAAAGTCAAGACTGTGAAGCGGTAAGTCGTACAGTTATTGTTCTTCATCTAAAATTAAACTTTCTGTGTCAGTGGTGAAACTTTGTGTGTTTGGGTGTCACATTCTCCCTGTATGTGTTCAGTTGCATTGTAGAGTTTCTCCCTTCATTCCAAATTAATTTACCAACCTTCAGATCAGCACCTTCACTTTTGTACTCACAAAATTGATTTCTACTTCATTAATCCTCCACACACATCATGAAATATAGTTAGTGAGCTAATGATTCTAACAAGATGTTGCCCTACTCTTCTAGAGGGAAGAGAGAGAAACTCTGAAGGTAACAATAATTATACATGGTTTTCATATAGCACTTTTCACCCTGAGATTTCAAAGTATTTTAAAAGGATAACTTGACAAGGGCAGTCTGAGTCAGGGCTATTTGCTTGCATAAAAATTGTCAGTTTGAGATTTAACAGAGCACTAAAACAGTGTTGCTGCAGGTAAAATTAAAAGAATGTTTTGCATTTGAAAGCTTGTCTAACTCTATCCCAACTATGCAGTTAGTCCAATAAAAGATATCAATCTAAGAAATCTCTCTCTCCTGCATAAAATGAGAGCATTTATGAGACTTTGAAACTAAATCATAATACAAATTATACTGATACTGCTCAATTGAAAATAGGATTTCATCTGTAATTTACTTTAACTCAACATTCACAAAAGAAACACTGCTTTATTGTTCAGTATTTGGGAGTACTGTTCTGATGAAAGAGTTTTAAGGAGTTATTTTTTCACTAATTGAGAATCAGGTACCTATGCTTCCCTACTCTTCCTGAACAGCTGCAGCTGTTCCTTGGAAAATTCGTTCTTATTCATTGTTTTGTTTTAGAACCTGGAGTCTCAATCAGGGAGTTCCATTGTGTGACATGGTATCTAACCTGGGTGTGCGTATTGAAACCCCCCCAAAAAAACAGAACAGCAAAAAAAAAAAAAAAAAAAAAAAAAAAAAAAAGAGAAAGTAGCAGCAAAGATAAGGGAAATGGAAATTAAGTTTGGTCATTAAGTTGGGAAATTAAGTTGGGTGCATCTACATGTGTAATTAATTTGAAGCAATAAACTCCAGAGGAGTTTGAGCTGGAGTAAACTATTCCCAGGCATAGCATCTACATGTGCAACCAAGACAACAGTAATTTGAGCCAGAGAGGAGCAGTTTATGCCAGGGCTGGGGGCACAGGGGATCAGCCCTGGGCTCCTGGTGGCAGTATTAAGCAGCAGAGAGGCTGGCTGGGGCCATAGGCAGATTAATATCTGGGCCCAGGAGCCCCCACCCCACCCCCCGGGTCCCTCAGCCAGTCAGCAGTAGGGGGACAAAAACAGCACCAAGTTTAAAACTGTGGCTTTCGCTTCCCTGCCAATGACGAGTGAGTTGCAAGCACGACACCTCCACCAATCAGCGGTGGGGGGAGGGTGAGCCACCCGAGGATAGGTACTCTGCCCCACACCCCACCTCGGAGTCCCATTCTCTGACCTGGCTGGGCAGCACCTGCCCCTGCCCTACTTCATCCCTCACTGTCAGGGCCTCAGTCTGCCCCCCACCATGCCCCTTCCCTCCCCCCCACCCCATGGCAGCTACACGCTTGCATGCAGCATGTATTGGTGACATTGTTGGCTACATCATCCAAAAAAAAGCCAATAGCCAATAATGTTGATTTTTCCTTTTCTTGGTGCTGATCTGATATGTGACTGATATATCGTACACCTCTATAGGGGGCCTCCAATTTTGTGTTCACCCTGGGCCCAGTAACTCTTAATCTGCCTCTGGCTGGGGCATGAGGGTGCTGAAAGTGTGGAACCATTTACTTGCTAGGCGGCAGACAGGAGTCTGGTCCCCTGCTGACCAAGGCTGACCAGATGCAATTTACATCTGCAGCCAGTGTCTGCACATGTGTTTAATTGCAGTTAATTACCCTGCTGTAAGGTAGTACTGTCGGTAAAATAGTACTGTCTCTGACAGTAGTATCTTTACAGTGGCATTAAATAGTTTACTGTGGCCTAATAGTGTTGCACCTGTAGATGGTGTTGTTTTACTCTGCAGCTAATTAGTCTACAGTTAAGCGTGCATGTAGACGTGGCCACTGACTGTTTTTGAAAAAAAAATTATAGGATTCTTCCTCTTCAATATACTTCATATTGCTAAGGAGTTTATGTTGGAAAATGAAGTATTTTTTTTTAATTACATCACTGAAGTTCTGGCTTAACCTGAAAAAGCAAGAACAGTCCTAAAAGAAACTGCTGCTCTGGACTAAATTCACAGGGTTATCTAGCTATTTCAAAAGTCTCAAAAAAATGGATTGATTTATATGCTGTACTACATAGGCAACAGATTGGGAACATTTATGAATGAAGCAGCACACTTACATGTGTTTTAATAGTGGTGTAACCTTCATTTGATTTTAATTTCCTTTAGTTTATGAACAATAAAAAGGAAAGAAATTTTCCATGGTCATGCCCTGCATGTATATTTCATAAATTGGAGATCATAATTCATAAGGATGCCTCAAGGAGGCTTAAGAGTTGTTTTTTACTGATGCTACTTTTGGACAACATTTTTTAATTGCAATATATTTTACTGATACACATGTAGAGAAGATATGGGCTTATTTTTATAATTAAAATACTTATAATAAAATTATAAAGCAAATAAAACAATGCTAATATTGCTAAGTGAAAGATGAATCTGAAACAGACTTTACTTGGGCCATATGTTTGTTCACTGAATACATTCAAAGGGAAACAGATTGTTGTTTGACATGTTTTTTCTCTTATGTGAAAATTATTTTTAATAGCTGTACAGCTGTTTTTGCCAAACCAGATTTCCTTTATTATGTGAAGTGCTTTATTAACTCCTAAATAAAATCTTCAGAATAGAATTTTACAACCCAAGCGGTGATAATAAGTGTGGAACTGACCCCGCAGGTTAAGAAGCTATTTTAGTTTGGAGTCTCTTTGAATGAGTCTAGCTGAGGGGGTTGTTCCATCATAACACTTTTTAGGGGAAAAAAAGGGGGGGCTGGACATAGCACCAAGAGTTTTCTCTGAGTCCCTGTTCTTCATTATCTCAGTGTGCTGCCCAGAATTATGTTGGCAACTTTCACAATCCTCAGCGATGCTTCTTTAGCTATTTATTTATTGTAATATCCACCCACCCACCCACATGCAAAAATCCCCAAATCTCAAAAGCCACGAACATTTTTTAATAAAAAATATGAAAATAGTGCAATCCATAACTCTTACAACTGCCATGTCACGGAGTAGCCATTGTGTTTGCCAACTTTGCCAAATCATGCAATGTTTTTGTGATATGGGCCAGTGTCAAGTTATGGAAATAATTAAATGAAATCTACAAAATGATATCATGTTAGATTTTTCACTAACTTTTATTTCAGAGAAGAGTTCTGATAAACAATTAATTCTGTATCTATTTTCCATATCTTAAACAGGCTACAACCAAACTTCCTCCTCCAAGCTTCTGTTATATTCTTACTGCTCAGCCTGATCAAATGCATGTTGATGTAAATGAGGAAGAACAGATCTCTAATTTGTACATGCCGCCAGCTGTGCATGGTCTGAGGGAAGTTCTTCAGGTAACCTGTTTAAAAGTGAAATAAGTATTTTGTGGTACTAATACAAAGAGTTCTTTGCAACTATATTTTGCCTCATTTCTTATTTTTCATTATTTTAAATTGTGTTTCAGGTTGGAGGTTTTAATCAACGCTGTAGCTTTTGGGCCCAAGTTATATATCAAAGGCTGCAGGTAAACTTTCTTTTTAGCAATAAAATATATTCAAAACAGTATAATGTGTGTGAAGAGGAGGAAGATGATTGCTATGTTTCCGGGGGTAGGGAGGGAGGAGAATAGGATGTTTTTCAGGTGTTCTTCCACAGCTCTGTGAGTAGTATGATCATTTGGCAGACTTTCATTTTTCATCTTCTCTTCATTTTGTTCAGGATTAATTTTAAACAATCTGTTATGAGATAATTTTCACCCTTGATTTGTCTAGACAGGTCCCGTTAAAACCTGTAGGGAACTGCACTGATACCAAAGAAGAAATCTTATCTTCTAGTTAGAATTCTCTTTCCTCACATGATGCGTGTTGAGGAGCTCTCATTCCAAATTGCATATGATAGCAGAATTTGGCAGATAGAAATGCTTCTTGCATGCAACCCAATAACCTACCATGGTTTCAAAGGAACCCCTATAGGCCTGTCTAAGGGTAGTATTTGGCATCTTTAGTCAAGTTAATAGAAAGAAACAAATCGTTAGATAAATATGTCTTCCCTTCACCCTGGATTGCATGTCTGGATTTTTTTCCTCCTGAAATGATATTCATATGTGTGTGAGTATCACTAAGTAAAGATTTTTTTCTTGAAAACAATTAGGCACTTGGTACAGCCAGCATTACATTCTGGTGGAGAAAAAATTTCATGTGGCCACAAAAAACATCAAACAAAAAAGATTAGGGATGTCAAAGATATGGGCTAGATTTTGCCTGCAGAGCCCCATCATTCAGCCCTTGGTACTGCCCCTGGGTCAGGAGCTGACCCACGTGCCACATGTACTGGACCAGCCCTGTGTAGAGCCCAGGACCCATGCTGCACATGGGTGGCACCCACTCCGGCCGGTCTGGAACTACACTGCATACAGCGCCCACTCCAGCCAGTCTGGGACTGTGCTGCACACAGTACCTGCTCCACCCCATGTGGGACATGGAGCAAGCTCCGCATGAGCTGGCTGTGGGATGTGGGGATGGGGGGTGGGGATCATCCCTACACCACTCACTCACCCCTGAAATAGATTAACAAAACTAGGGAAACATAAAAGGATTTAATTCCAAGAGAGCAGTTAAGTGTTTGGAAATGCATCCCATAACCATGGTGAGAGATCTAATTTTAGTTCAGGTCACAGTCCCTTCCTTTCAGGGTTTGATGAATTATGATTTGATTTTTAAGCAGGCTGCACACTTAAAGCTGGATTCTTTTCCACCTATTAGGCAGGTAGGTGCCTAAATACAGTTCTGTTTCACCCTGCACATGTCCCTGAAAAAACAATTAATGCAAAGGTAAGTGGGTCTTCTCCTCACTGTTTTTGTATGACTGAGTCTTAAGGGTAAGATGACAGCATGTTGCATTATGGATGGATGAATGGATTTTTGGAACTTGAACAGGGTGGATTAGGATTGAGTTTAGGCATCCAAATCCACCTAGTTGTCTAGTAGGTGAAATTGGATCTGGCCATTGACTCCTGAGAAAGGAGTGCATTTCATTGCTCAATAAGTTTTCCCCAAGCTAAATGGCACAAAGACATTTGCGTGAGTTTTAATGCGAAGTAAGAAGATGAGATCTTTAGGATTTCAGTAGGGATTTAAATACACAGACCTGTCCCTGTCCTATTCCTTCCTGGCCTCTGAAAAAAAAACCTTTTTCAAAACATATTCTCATCATAGAGGGTACGTCTACACATGTGCATTTACTGCACAGTAACCAAAATTACTGCACAGTACAGACATGCATCTATATGTGCACGCCTTTACTGTGCAGTAAATATGGCAACTTATGCCAACTTGGGCGTAACTTTGATACTAGCATCATGCAGGTATCAAACTTAACACCCGATTAGTTACTGTGCAGTAATGCATGTATAGATGCCGTACTGCGCAGTAACACAGTGTGTGGACTGACTTGGGACTAACTTTTTTCCCAAGCCAGCCCACACACAGCTTTAATGCACTTTAACACCTTCATGTGTAGACTCCAGCCTATTCCTGTTTACTGCACAGTAACTTTAAGCTGAAGTAAATGCATGTGTAGGCACACCCAGTGATTAGTTTGTTTCAGACTGGCCTGGCTGCCTGAGTTATCACTGATTTTACACATATCTGCATCTGAAATAATCTGATTAATCTGTAGCCTTGTGTAGAAATTCCTTGTTAGTCAGAAGAGAGGTGGGCTGTGCTGGATTTACATGGTTTTAGAGAAGGTTGATGTGCTTACAAGAAAATCTATGCATGCACACATGCACAGACTCTTTCATGGTATTAAAATGTCTTGGCAACATTTTAAGTAGGTTATTCAATTGAATGCATTGAACTTCAATAAGCTAGCAACATAAGAATTCATAAATTATTTGAAATGTATACTGCAAAGATAATGTGAAATACTTCACTTTCGGATAAGGAATCTGAAGGTGTAAGTGCACTTACCTGCTGTTTGTGTGTTCCTTGCCTAATCCCTGAAATAAAATGTCATGTGCAGCAACTTGTTTATTGCTTCAGCCTTTGCTAAGAGGATTTATTCTTCACACACAAGATCATGCTTTGAAATGCAAAGGGAAGACTGTGCTTAAGCTTTAATTTCTTCTACAGACTCATTATTCAAAGCTGAGAAAATACAAATTTGTAAATTTCTAGTTAAATTATTATATTTTGGAAATACACAGTTCTTATTTCATATGGCTACCTGATTAGCATTCTTTAATACATTATTTGTATGAAATTAGGACTGGAAATATGCTTTCATTATTATTATTTAGAATAAGTACCATGTCACAAAAGGGATATAAGAAAATATGTTCCATCTGTGCTTGAGGAGCTGTCCTTTTTTATAATTCAATCCTGCTGCTGTTTGTCTATTATGTCCTTTCTGTACAGAACAAACTGTTGCACATAGCAAGATGATGATTTTATAATATCTTGTGATTATTACTATTATTTTTATATATTTTGGATGATTCCTCTTCTGTTCACAATCTGTATGCCACCTTTTGAAAACTCTGGTGATACGTGTAAAAGCTGTAAAAGTCATTCCTTCAAACCTGTTTTAAAACTCTTTATGTAGAGAAGATGATCAGATGCAGATAACTGCTGTGGAAGAAACTTGAGATAAATGCAATAGAGGATATGTACTAAGACAGCAGAATAACTTGTTGCATCTGAATTCTTCCACTCGCTGTTTTCAATTAGTGCATGTGTTATAGGCTCTACAGCAGGGGCAGGCAATTATTTTGGGTGGAGGGCCACTTACTGAGTTTTGGCAAGCTATTGAGGGCCGCATGACAGGCAGCCAGGGGCAGATAAATATTAATTTTCTACCTTTTTTGGGAGCCCTGCTGGCTCACGGGCTGCATTTTGCCCACCCCTGCTCTACAGGCATGAATATATGGCCACTTTTAAAGTGTATGAATCTCCAAAGATTTTAGTTGCCTGTTGGACATGAGAGTTGAAATTCACATTGTAATGCATTAACCTATAATGCAGCTTTAAAAGTAGAATATTAATATTGTTTGACTATTGTTTTGAGATAGAAGGCACAGAAAATTAGAACTGAATGCTGGTTTTGAAAAGTTTTTGAAAGGTAAAAGGATCTATCTATCTATCTATCTATCTATTTTCATAGTATCCATCACCATAGTATCTTGTTTATCATGATAGCATGAAATATTTAAAATATTAGATGCTAGTTACATTTTGAACTGTGAACTCTGACATGAACTGTAGGTATTTAGAGTGACGTCACTTGTTTTGAGACATAATAGATTTTTCTTCTTGTCCTAAACAGGCAGAAGACTGAAGTAGTCAGGGTGGATTCTTTTGTTTCTCTCTTATGAATCATCTGTTTTCCTAATTCTTTGAAACCTTCAAAATTAGGGATTCTTTTTGTTCATTAGAAAGAAAAATGTCCAGCTTTCTAATCAGTAGCAGCTGTGAGCCAGAGAACTGCAAGTGAGAAGGCTTGGTAGCAAAACTTCCTTAATTTGCTTAAGCAGGAATAATGTCATTGTGAGACATTTTTTAAAGACGGAGCCCATGGAAGGCCTAGTTCAGACAAGCAAAAAAACGTTAAAGATGTTGCTTGTTGGCACGTATTACAGAATATGCTTGAAGCCTCTGGTAAAGCCCAGCATGCAGTATTGTAACACATGCCAACTGGTTAAGGCGTAAGCCCCAGGTTTCTCACTATGTCCACCTCACTCAGCCAGTTAAAATAAAAGATGTTATCCTCACTATGCTAAGGAAAATTTGGGGTCACTTAGCACATGTTGACTAATTCTGATGTAACTTCAACCTGTCTCCCTGTGGGAGCTTAAAACTTCATGATCTAAGTGGATTTTTTGTTTGTTTGCTTGTTTGTTTTCTTTAAGGAGAAATTACTGCTTCAAACTTCAGCTCTCCTGTTAGTTTAATCAAAGTGTTTCACAATCAGTAGAAATTATTGTGCTCTTTCTACTGATTTCCCAGGTAAAATATAATGTTCCTGCGACTCAAAGGGAGTTTTGGTTGTTCGTGACTGACCCCACGTTGCAGACTGGAGTGGAGAAGAGTTGTAAACTTCCTAAAACTGTACCTGTCTCTGTCACTGCCTCTTGTGTTCTTGATAAAGAAGTGATGGATGCACTAACCAGCACATCCCACCACATACTCTTCTTCAAGGATGCACTGCAAGGAAATGGTAACCTTTTTTCTCATGGCAGTTTGGCTAAGTACAGACAGTCAAAAAGCCCAAGGCTAAATCGATTCAGTCTTCGCAGGTCAGTCTAAGCTGCAAAGATTAAACTGATCCACAAGTGAACAGAAATTCACTTTTGATTCTGGAAATGCAACCACATGCCTGCAGTGGCTCAGGCACTAAAGCATGCCTCCCTGCTTAGTTGGAGCAGACAGATTGGGCAAAGGCTAGTCCACCCATGCTGTGAGGGTGGATTGTGGTGGAAGTGCTAAGCGTCCTGGGATGCTGGGGGGACTGAGAGTTAACTTGAATCTGGAGGGGATCTGGGACAGAAGTTCAATAAACCAATTTCACTTAAATCAGTTAAGCCTGATACTACGTCCATCCAGGTTTATCTTAAACTAGTTTGGGTCATTTGGAAAGAAGTTTATGTGTAGTGAACTTCTGTTGTGTTACAGATTTGAACCAGTTTCTGATCTCTTATACCAGTTTATGTGTAACTTCTGTCCCTAGCCTTTGAGACAAAAGTGAGTTGCCAAATGAGCATCCTAATCTTCAAGGGTGTAAATAGACATAGTGTTGTACCAGGAGGACACACTGGCCATTTTCTTGCTCTAAGTATCTGTGAAGCATGCGAGATAAAATGTGCTAACACTCTCCCCACTCCCTGCCCAGTGCTGCCTAGGTCTGTAGTTAATCACCGCTCATTCAAATTCACTGCCAGTCATTCCAGATACAAGCCTGTCAAGGAGTGTGTTCTCTGTAAACTTAGTAGTAGAGGACCAGCAATGCACTTGGGAAGGGCTGTATGTCTAAGCCTGTTCTGCTCCTTTTTTGTCCCAGGTTTTGCCTCAGATTAATCAGAACAGCCACAAATGAGACTTTTTTCACAGCCTAATACAGCTGAGGGGTCTGCTAGGACTCTGAACAAGACTAAGATGAAGCAATATGTAGCCATTTGCAAGGCCTGAAACCAGTGAGCCTCTACTCAGACAATTTTATGTGGATGAGGAGGTGGTTCAGCCTCCACACCCAATCCTTCCTTGGTCTTGGCTGTGACACTTATTTCATAGATTCATAGATTATAGAGTTGGAAGGGACCCAATGGATCATCGTGTCCGACCCCCTGCCCCCGGCAGAAAAGAGGACCGAGTCTAGGCTGATAGTGACTGAAAGCTATTAATGTTTTTAAATGGAATGTGGGATGCTAGTTAATGTAATTGTGATGATAGTCTTGTGATGTACTTAATTGTCAGCCAGAACTGGTGCAGGACCATCAAACGTGTTTCACATTCCATTTAAAAACATTAATGGCTTTCAGTCACTATCAGCCTAGACTCGGTTCGAGGTGCTGGCCTATATATTAGAGTCCTGTTACCACATCTTCTAAACTAGAGCTGTCCAGCTGGTTGCCCATGAGCTGCACATGGCCTGCAATGGATTAATTTGCAGCCCTTGGGCTCCCACCTGGCCACTCCCAAGTTCTGCTTTCTATCCCACCCCACTGGGCAGGACAGAGGAGCATAGGCACAGTCCACGGTGCTGGAGAAGCCCGTGGTGTGGGTGCTGGTGCAGCTCAGAGCAGCAAAGGAACCTTTGTCCAGGGAGCTGAAGGTCAGGTTGAGATATGCAGCCTCCAGCTGCTAAGTTGCACAGTCCTGTGATCCCTTTGCCCATAGAAGCCAAAATCTCTTTTATAGTATGCAAATTAGATATGGCAGAAAGGTGTACCAAAATTTGGGCAACTCCTGCTTCAGAGTAAAACATTGCAATGTATCTAGCCTCTGAACGGATTTGAAATAGACAGAAATAACCCCAGGAGAAATATAAATTTATATGACCAAATAAGAGAGAGAGAAAAATAATATCACGTGTTCACTGGAAACAGTGCTTTTTGAACTGAGTTTGATTCTCACTTTTTAGAAAACTGATGTAGCAAAATATTCTCTATGTGAGGAGCAGAAATGTGTGTTAATTGAAAATGGAGTATTTTAGTATGGAGAAAATTTGAAAGAATCCATCTATGCATTTAGGAACTGGCAGAGAACATTGTCATTATTGGCCATGACAATTAACGTGGTCACCTTTCTCCTTGTTACTGTACTGAATTGAATGTCTTTGTTGGCAGGTAGGATTATTTGTGTTGAACGTACCGTTCTCTTGTTACAAAAGCCCCTTTTGTGTTTGGCTGCTGGTGCTGACCTCAGTGAGCTGACTGGCCCTGTCGGACTAGATGAGCTGGATTCTACAACGCAGGCTGATTCCATTTGTACCGTAAGAGGTGTGTATAGCCCTTTCTGAAACGAAGGCTACTAATTATTTGTGTTCATTTTAAATAGTTTCCTTGGTCTCTTGAAACAACATTGTACAAAAGAAAGAAAATTAAGGTGTTGTGCTGTTTTATAAAGACAGTCAGCTTTATACTTCTTTCTGGGCTCTATTTGTCCTTTGGTTGCAGAAGTGACTCAGATATGATTGAAGTCTTTTTTTTCTCCACACACAACTGTCTATTCAAGCTGTGTCACGGGTGGTCAACCTGCAGCATGGGTGCCACAAGTGGTACCAGCAGCCTCTATGTAAGTAAGCAGCAGCAGATCAGGTTGGAGACAGACAGCACAGTGGCAGATAGGGCAGGAAGCAGAAAGCAGAGCATCAGTTCAGGAGAGAACCACAGGGCAGGGTGCAGAAAGCAGAGCAGCAGGGCAAGGGATTGGAGTGGCACTCAGAAAGGCTATGGAGCTGATTTGTGGCATGTCTGCCAAAAAGGTTGGCCCCAACTGTTCTGTGTGGTCACTAATGTTCCCAGTCATTAATGCCTTGTATAAAATACAGTCCTCACTACAAATGTTTGCTGTCCATGTTCTCTTTCATTGTTTCTGTTCATATACCAGTTTACCTTCAGGTAGCATCCTGGGCACCAACTTTATTTGTATTAATTAGTGGGTATAACACCCACTGGGGTACAGTTGTTTCCAGTGTGTCAGCTGGGGCCTGTGTACTTGAGGCAGGGATCAGCACTAGCATCTTTTAGGGCTGTACTGAAATAGGACAGTTTAATGTTCCACCAGAATCCCACAGTATAGCCTGGCCATACTTACTTCCCAGCAGGTTGCTTTTGGATATTGGTTTGTTTAATAATTTAATCCATTTGCTACCAGTGCAGAAATAATTCCTAAAATGTATTTTCTAATGCTTTGTCCAGTCTAAAGGTTTCAAGTTACAGAGCTTCCCTTGGGGGATTATTTTGCAGGCTAATAGTTCTCACTTTTAGGAAAAATTTTATTTCTTAATTTCATTCTGTCATTGCTAGTTATGTCCCATGAAATACTTTACCCAATTAATCCCTCTCCTTGGGGTTGCACCCTTCAAATGCTTGTTTAAAACACTTCACCAAATCCTTCACAATATAAAACCATGTTCTCAGAAGGCAGTTTTAAATTACTCAGGGCATTTAGTAAAACTATCCCTTCTGTTGTTACAGTAAAGCTGCAGGGGGCAAAAATCTTTGCCACTGGTATTGGTGCAAAATGCATGAGTATATTATTCACAAATATTGAGTTCTGGCACTGCCTAATGAAGAACAGAGATGGTAACAAGCAGTTATTTCTAAGATTTGGTGATTATCTATCAGTATTGGCACCTGTTTTAATGACATTTTTCTGAAAAGTTATCACTATCTCTTTCAGCCACTTTTAAAATTATGCTAAAAATTTTCACTCACAGTTTCTTCTCTCCTTTAGTCTGCCTACTCTGTATGCAGTGGAATAAACTCAAAACCATCTTTCTCTCTTCATCTATATCTAGAGAGAAATTAAATCTACCGTTGTGTTTTTTACAAGTTAAAGCAAGTAATTCTAATGGGCAATAAGTGTTTGTAATACAAAAGGTAAACCTCTGCTCCCCACCATAATTTTCATTAGTTATGGAGGTGGGAGAGGTACTTCTGGCAAGTTGGGCAGAGATGAGATTGTAGAACTTCATATGATGGTACAAGGTGGAATGTTTAATGAAGGTGTAAGTATTTATCTTATATTAAATGATGATGATGATTATATAGATTATTAGATTGCTTTAGATCATTCATATTGATTTTTTTTTTAATATGCATTGTATGTGTATGCTATTTCAGGTCTTTTCATTTTCTCATTGCTATTATGAATCTAGCTCTCTAGTGCTTACCAGCTTAGGCTTCTTAACTGGTGCCATCAAATCAATGGCATTGTTTCATCTGGGCCCTCAAACTGTGATGCTCCTTCCCATTCCTCCTCCCAGCTCTGCAGCTGTTATGTTTCCTGGGCATTTTGTGGAACATCTTCCCATAAACACTGACTGCAAACCATTTTTTAATTCATGAAAAATATAAGTGGAGGTTGAACTCCGTATTAGCTGGTACATCTGTTTAGCATCTGACCATGGCTAACATGGAGAGAGGACAAAGAGGCCACAGGTGGTACTGCTGGTCAGTGACTAGATTAACCTTCTAATTCTAGACTTAAAGGAGGGACATGGTAAAAACACCTTCTATAAGCTTGGCAAATATGTCTGTGCTTATCCAAGTATTAACTGTATAAATATATTAATCCTTTTTGTTAATGTACTATTAAAGCATATTTTATAGCCTTTCTAGGTGAGATCCTGCTTCTCCCAATTTTTTGTAATCCATGAATATCCATTGTGTTTGTGTGAGATATTTGTGTTGGTCTTTAATCATCTTGGCCGAGAGTTAAAACAGTATTGTTTCTCTTCAATAGATGTGTGAAAGGCTATGGCTAGTATCTAGGGAGTGGTCCTTCTTCAGAGTCAAAGACTTTATCAAGTCAGAATAAATCAGAATGTTCTTTCCTTATGCAATAAAAAGCCTTTGTGAATCTCTTTGCTGCTTTCTACTTGCAGATCAGAAAGGGCATGTATGTTGATTATTTCTGTTGTACAAAACTTCTTCATCTCTGCTAATGAGGGCCAACTTTTCATCTAAGAAAGTTCTACTAGTCAATGCCACATAGGCTGTGTGGGTAGATTAGCTGCTTAACAATAGTTTTGCCAATAAGTGATTCAGGTCTGATGTTTGGATTTTGACGCTAGACATTTAAGCCACTCTCCAGGTGTACTGCTTGCAGATATCCTAGTAAGAAGCTGCCTAAATGGTGATGTTTAGGCAGCCCTGCCCTATCCCTAAATATCATCTGTTGACAGGGCAGGTGCCCCCTCCCCCCCATTACGTTAATCAATGTGGTAGTTAAAGAAAATTAATCTGCTCTTTTTATTGAAGTTTTCTGTCACTTTTTTGCGTCAGCTTATTCATCAGAGCAGTTTCCAGGTACTGTGCCAATGGTATTATGTATGTACATCAGTCTCTTCATACCAACGATAGTGGCAACCCAAAGAACAGTAAGGCAGGAATAAAACTTAAATTGTATTACCTTCTCCTTACAAATGAGAAAACTCAGAGGCAAAGTCTAAAAGCTAAACCCAGTTAAGGAAAATCTTGGCAACTTGTATGTAGCAGTTAAACCAGTTTTCACTCTACATATCAGCTTACATCTGGGATAGGTGTGGCTGCCACTTGATTAGTCTTTGACTTGGCTTAGTTCTCACCTTTTTCCATGATCTTTGGTCTCTCAGGATAGATCTATATAAATAAAAATAATCTCAGCACTTTAAGAAATATAGTCAATAACATTTTTGTTCCTACTTATTATACCCACTTACCTCACTCTGTCAGGGTTCCTTCTTATTTGATAAATGTTGCCCTTTAATATCTTCATATCACTCTTTAAGTTTGTCTCAATATAGTCAGACAAGGTTCTTTGGATGAATCTGATATCTTTTATTAGACCAACTTACATAGTTGGGAAAAACATTTTTTAGCAAGCTTTCAGGTTTAAAAACCCTTCATCAGGCTGAGGAAGCCTCTGCAGTTGGTGTGCGCTCTGGAATGATAGTAAAGAAGTCAGAGGCTGGGCTGGGCTGCATGCAAGACAGGCAGTCAGTGAAGATGTAAATTGAGGAGTCAGTGGGTGAGAGAGAGGCTGGGTGAGGGGGGGAGAAAAAAGGGGGTTGAACATAGCAGCTGAATAGTGGAGAGTTATCTGGGGAGTCAGATGTCAGGCAGGTAATAAAGTGTCATAAATCCAATGTCTATATTTAGTCCATGATTTTTAGTATCCAGGAGGTTGATGAAGTGGAGTTTATAGGCTCATCTCTGAGAAGTGTTTTGTAAATTCCCTTTGAGGATCAAGACAGAGATTGGAGAGAGAGTGGTTTTCTTGTGAGAAATGTGCCCCCACAGGTAATTGGGTATTCCTGTTTGTGATAGATTTCTGGTGTGCATTCATTCTGGTGCGCAGGTGTTGTTTGGTCTCTCCTACGTAAAGTATTTTCCATCAGGGCATTTGGTGCATTTGAATGAGATGTATTAAATTTCTGGAGGTGCAGCTGTAAGATCCTGGGATGCTGATGGCACTGTAGTGGGGTGTAGTTATAGTGAGGGTGGTGGAGATGTGTTGGCAGGTTTTGCATTTCTTGTCATGACATGGTCTGGATCCATTCGGTGTGTTCTGGGCCTGAGGAAGTTTGCTTCTGGTGATGAGGTTAGTGAGGTTTGGTGCTTGTTTGAAGGCTAGGATGGGTGGCTCTGGGAAGATCTCTTTAGGAATTAGGGTCTCTTTCTAGTATGGGTTGCAATTTTTTGAGGATTTTCCATATGGGTTCGAGGGAGGGATGATATGTCATTGTGTGGACCGGCTCCCGGTCCCGCCCTCGCCGGCCGCGAGCCAGGCCCGTCTGTGTGCACGCGGGCTGTGGCCGGCAGGCCCGGCCCGCGGGGCCGGCGAAAAGTCGCAG